GGCTATACAGCAAGTACCAGGCCAGCCAGGACTATATACCAAACTCTATCTCAATAAAACAAAACAGAAACCTCAAAGAGACAGTATATAGGTACAGCAAAGGCTGTACATATAGGCGCCCAAGATTGAGATAAAATGGCATATTTTAAATAGCTAATGAATTATATAAATATAATTCATTTCTTGAAATCTGATAATAAGTACAGAGGGGAACACCCAGTGGTTTCAATTTGATGAAAGGAAGGAACAGTGTAAGAAACAAAGAATACTTCAGTCTATGAGACTTGAAGGAGGTAAAAAGTATTTGATGGGATTTGAGGCACTTCGCATGCGGACAGCAGGCTAAATATTGTGGCAAATGAGAAGGATGAATGTGTGGATGGGCAAGTGGGTGGATATGTGGATACGTGGATGGATGATGGATGAATAGGCAGGGTGGATGCATGGGTTGTAGACAGGTTGATGGATTGGTGATTGGTTGGATGGGTGCATAGATGGGTAGGTAGGCAGATGGGTGGGTGGATGGATGGATAGGTAATAGATAAATGGATTCGTGTGTGGGTGGGTGGGTGGATGGGTGGGTGAGTACTATGATGCATAGATAAACAAATGAAGATTAATAATGAGTGAAAGATGGATCGATGGATGGATAGACTAATGATATAGATATAGATACACAGATATGTATCTCTCTATATATCTAGATATAGATACAAAGATCATATATAGCCTGAGACCATGGACACATAAAAGGAAAACAACATAAAAATTCTAAGTAGTAAGGTTAGAGTTAAAAAAAGATTAAAGAAGTTATCTTAGGAGTTGTTAATTGGTTAGGGCCAGTTAGCAAGCTTACCTTTTCTTAGACTTGAAGATGGAACTGAGGGATTTGGAAATAAGGAACCAAAGCGATGATGAGTGAAGTGATGCGGTCCTTTAGCAGGGCTGCACATACGTGACAATGTGGTATAGACTGCCTGGGAGCTGCCTGTTCAATAGCCAGTCAAAGACCTACTTAGGGCCCGCCCCATACTGAGATGTGGCGCACTCTATTCTGGTAGTTCTTGAAACCCCTCGCTGTCGCTATGCATTTTACCAGTGAGCAAGCTGTCCATGATCTGAACCAGGCCGCCACTACTGTAGAAGGGTCTGACTTTTGCCTCAGTCTCTGATCACAAGCTCTTCTCTTGGGCCCAGCTGGGGAAATGTGACCTGAGCCGCTGGCCAGAGAAGAATTATTGACAGACTGTCACAGGAACAAAGAATCTGGCACTTCCTCTCTGTTACTGTCTGGCTCGCCTACTGTTCCTGTGATGATGAAGATTTAGTACATCTGAAGGCATCTGCGTGTTGTCTGACAACTCTGGTGGCTCTGAGCTGGGGTCCTGACTTCAAACATGAGTGTTTAAGATTGCTGAATTATTCCATTCCGC